TATAAAATATATAAAATATAATTATGCAGAATATATAAAAAACTTACGGCAAGTCCCACGGCTCCGACGGCGGGAGCGGGAGCGGCAGCGGCGGTGTGAAACAGGGAGGAGGAGCGGGAGAAGAAGGCTTCGGTGGTGGATCGGCCTTAGTAACCGGTGATGTCGTCGGCACGATGGGGGTGGATTTCTGTGGAGAATATTGAAGACGGAGGAGGAGCTGAGATAGAGGGATTTTGGCGGTGGCTATCACAAGGGCCTTATGCCGTCAGCCGCGACACCGACGGCGACGGCGACGGCGGACTGATTTACTTCGGCGGAGGAGGGGTGTGGGAGCAGCTGTGATTTGGGAAGAGACGGACCAAACGTGTTCTGAAATTAGGGTGGGAAAGGGGTTTTAATTTGGTTTCGCGACGTTTATACTTATTAGTCGCAGGACCGAAAATTTCGGAATAATTACAGTTTTAGTCCCCCAAGTTTGCATGTTTTCCAGTTTTGGTTCCCGATTTACCGCCGTCAACAAAATACACACTAATGTTGTCAAATTTTAACACATTTAGTCCCTCCGTCTGTTTGACCATTAAGTAGTAACGGTCAACTGTTGAATTATGGCTGAATTTGGGATTTTTCATAGATAAAAATTGCACTCAGACCCTGCATTCTTTTAAAATATTCTAAAACCCCCTAAAATTTTACCCAACCATAATTTAACCCCAATTTCATCATTTAATCAATTTTGACAAACGACCCCAATTTTTACCACCATTACCGTTGACCCTTGACCGCCGTTGATTTTTTTTTTTTGTAAATTTTTTTTCGGCATTGAGTTTTTTTATTTAAAATTGATTTTGACGCCGTTCACCGACATTGTATTCTCGGTTAACAATGTTGATTTTTTTTTTTTTTCTTGATTTTTTACGAACTTTTTCCTTTGATTTTTTTTTTCCAATCAACACAATTACTTTATAACACAATAATAATACTATATTAACATCTAGTATCGTAATATTAAAATTACAACCTTCTAAGAAAGTTTGTATCTAAAATTTTAGTGCCTAAATACAATTTTCAAAAAATTCTAAAATCCATATTTTCTTCCCCTCAAAATTTTCTTTGTGGAACCGCTAGTGCATCTCAAATTTCTTCCCAAGAAAATATGAAGAAGATGAATTAGGCATGTGCGGAGTAATTTGTAATGAGAGAACCACTCTATTACAACGTTTTTGCGTTGACTTTTTCATTTTTTATGATATTATTTTCTCGCCGATTATCAGTTTTGATTTTTTTTTAATTATATTTTTCCATTACTGAACAGTTGAAATAAAAATCAAGAAAAAAAATGTCAACGTTGTTGAGCCGACATTCAACATCGGTCAACAACGGGAAAAAATATCAATCGACAAAAGAGTCAACCGAGTTAAAAAGAAAGTCAACGTCAGATTACCCAATTTTGAGAAATTGGGGTCATTGGTTAAAATTGGTTAATTGATGAAATAGGGGTTAAATTATGGTTGAATAAAATTTTAGAGGTTTTTATAATATTTTGAAAGACTACAGGGGTCTTATTGCAATTTTCTCAAAGAAAAACCCCAAATTCAACAGTTGACCGTTACTACTTAACGGTCAAACAGACGGAGGGACTAAATGTGTTAAAATGTGACAATATTAGTGTGTATTTTGTTGACGGCGTTAAATGGGGGACCAAAAGTGAAAAACGTGCAAACTTGGGGGACCAAAACTGTAATCATCCCGAAAATTTCCTTGCGACGTTTTCCTATATTTTAGTCGCCACAACAAGCTTATGGAAATAAAATAGCAACTTTACTTAATTAAACGTCGCAACAGAAAAATTGTGAAAAAAAAAACCAATTATATTGCGACGTTTCAATCCATTGCATTATTTACGTCGAAAAACAAATTTAGAAATTTTTAATTGGAAAACCATTGCGACGCAATAATATATAAACGTCGCCAATTTTCCAATCACCTTGCGTCGTTTCATAATTATAGTCGCAAATATTATTAATTAAAAAAAAAAAAAAAAAAATTTTCTCTTGCGACGAATATTTACAATAACGTCGCGAAATTGCGACGTATATAACCGATTCGTCGCTGTTTCTTCACGGAACTTTTCGTTTAAAAGTTTGCGATGATTTCTGCGACGTAATTTAGAAGCGTCGCAGTATTTACTCATTTTTTAGAATTTGAATTTAAATTATGCATTATTGCGACGATAAGTTAAGAAAACGTCGCAATGTGAGCGACGTTTACAATATCGTCGCAAAAAAACGTCGTATGAAATGAAATT